TACAGCAACGGTTTTAATTTTTATATTCTTAAACTTTGATAATTATATTATATTGATTTTGTTTGATAAGTAATTAAGATTAATAGCATGTTTTAAATTAATGAGAGTGGATCCTTAAAATCCAGTACAAGTACAACATCTGTTCAACGGAGATAATATTACTGTCCAAACAGACGAACCAAAATCAATGTGAATATAAAACGATAGGTATTCAAAGGAACGATTAAGAAATAATGCCTAACTGTGATAGGTACTGAGATTAGTATAGATTACTGATTAGGTATATTACAGCTGAATAAAGGACGAGGCTTAGGTATTATAAAAGTAAGTACTGCCTACCTTAAGCCTGTTGTTTTTATGGTTATTTTGTATTGCGATATCCTAATCATTATCAATAGATTTTTATTTTATTGTTTATGGAAAGTCTTCAAGAACAACGGTTATCGTTTATTACATATTAAGCTACTATAATTCGTGTCTATGTAGTCTCATATTCTTACGAGCAGCGGCCATCGAACAACATAAATGTACAATTTGTTGTTATTAATATATTTATTACAATGTATAGCTACAGGAGTCTTGCATTAATTTGGAATTATAAAAATGGCGATAAGGATCACAATATTAAGTTCTTAATAATTCTTATGTGCTTGTATTAGGTATGCACCTCCCCACACTATTTTTTCATCTTGAAAATTTTTAAGTGCACCATAAAATATATAATCAACAAAGTATTATTATAATAATTAATAATAATGAAATAAAATAAATATTATATTTTACAAATATTTTTACAACGATTCAATGAGAATATTTCATATTTCATATTATATATTTGCAATAACTACAATTATATTATAGGTGAATAAAATATAAAATAATGAAAAATTAAGTACAATTATTCATTATGTACACACATATTATAGTAACTTGTTCATTATTAGTAGCTGATTGTAAATAAGTAAACATTTTCACAAAACTTCACTTTATGCGGTCATTTTTTTTTTTTTGAATTCTTATGATACAAATTCTAAACTGTTTTAAATGAAATCGCGATTTTCAATCGAAACCTAACTGAATCGTTGAAATCAAGTTATTACGATATCTAGCGAACAAATTCGGCACAAATAAATATGCAATATACATTGCTTAATATTATATTAATAAATTAAATACTAGTAATAATGTTGGGAAATAAAAAACAGTTTTAGCTCTGGCATAGCAGTTAAATGCCCAGTAGTAATATTACCAGGTTTTTTGATTTTCGTTACACCTAATGGCCTCTTGAGTTTTTTCACTAATTTATTTATCAATCAAATTACTCATGAACTCATGGTACCGAACATATAAGTACACCGACGCCACGTATAAAACAAATGAACCGTCGCACTGAATAACGGGTAGAATTTTTCAAATCGTTTTTAGACGCACAAAATAAAGAATAATGAACCGAAAAATCACGAATGAAAGGGGAAGTAATGGGTTACGTTGCTATTCAATCGGAGTTTCACCTTTCGTATATACATACATACATACATACATACATACATACATACATACATACATACATACATACATTCAACCGTTTAGGTTTTTTTTATCGTATTTTTATCGTACGATTTACACTGGGGAAATTATACGAATATATATGTAGCAGGTATAGGTATTTTATGTTTATTATAGAATAAATATTGTCTGCGTACACGCGAGAGGGACGACTAAACGTCGATAGACATAGTCACTTGATTAACTTCAATAATATAATATGTAGTGTTATAAATTATTAATTTAGTATCATATATAACTTCATGTTATTATCCGTATCCAATAATTAGTGAACTGATTGACATATTATATTGTATTATGTAATCGTTGTACATTTAATGTGTATATGCGTTACACTGTATTATACAGTTTGCGCACATTTATCGTTTAATCGGGTAGGTGGTGTGTTTTATTATCGTTCATATTTTAGTGTAGTTAACTTAAAAAACAATACTCTCCTCTTGTACCCATTTAAATATTAAGAATTTAGACGATTTTCTTTTCGATTAATGAACTATTTACGGCACGTGTCTGTTATATATTAAAGCTAATTTTGAAACGGCACACGCCACACACGCTATGGACTCGATCAAAAGCTATAACACGTGTATAATACGTTGCAAGCTTACCTATATATAATACATAATATCATTCAAGTCATGTCGGGTTAAGTACAAATGTACAATATTGGACTGTTCTTATGGATTACGGACAACGGTTTTTTATTACCAAGCAATAAAAACGTGTTTCATTATAAATATGAAATACATATATGTATAATAGTAAATCCATAAAAAATATACGTTCGATTTGTTATGGATTACCTTGAGAAGTAGACTACCCATAAACGACAATAATGATACTATATTATTGTAGAAAAATAAAATTGTTCCTTGGAATGCCAAAATATGATATTGATAATTATCTGAAACACGTTCGCAAAATAAATTAAAAACGAAAAACGTGCATATATAACACTTTAAAGTTTTAATAAATTAAAAGTACGTGGTGGTTAGCTTAGATAGGTACTTATACAAAATGATGTATTAAATACATTTTATTCACCAAATTATCTACCTAATTCATTAGGATATAAGATACCCATATGTCGCTTAAAAATTTAAACTCTAAAGATAAAATATTAAATTTTGTTTTTGTCATAATAATTTTTGAGTGTTTTACATAAATATAATACATAATATGTACTCAACGACAGAGGTATTAATAAATTTCAATTAATAGAATAAGAATTCCTTTAGAACATGCCGTTAAATGAAATGTAACGCATACATTATTACGAAATTGTAAATTAATAATTGTAATCTACAAATGTACGGTTCGAGAATCATGTTCATAACGAGCTATCATTATTTGAGTGTCTAACTATATAGTAACTAATGAGTTCCGTAAGGATGAAGGATAACAATATTTTATCCAACTGTAAATTCTCGTTTATTTTATTTCCTCGTCATTCGTCTCATTCATAAGTCCATAACCCGAAGTTTTGAAAGTACCACAGGTGATTCGCTAATAAAAGACGGCAGAGCTATATTATACACACTCTATAATAACATAATATTTTCTGTAAACAATAACCAGCATCGAACAAGCGTACATTTTTAATAGTCCATACTACAAAGATAAGGTTAAAAATTATTATTGTTTATATTATTTTAATTATGTAAATATGCAATATAATTATGTAATAGGTGCAGCTATATATACATATGCACAGTCGACCTATGTTTACGAAGGACTGCAAGGCATTCATATTGATGTAAAAAAATGTTACTTTGTAAATATATTATATTAGGAACTTAACTATGTAGGTACCTACATATATTATTTTGTATAAATATTATTATACATTTTTGTATAATATATTATGTATATAAAAAAGGAAGGAAAATAGTTGAAAAACGGAATTGGCCACGCAAATGTTTATATTATATTATACACGCATTGTTGAAGCCTGCAGCTATACATTATTTGCCGTTTCACTGAAATTATATTTGATCTACCATCGCTTACTAAAAACATTTTTGTATGATGTTGATGTCTAACCGCCAGAAAAAGAATTTTCTTAAATGGAGTATTCAAGCCATTTTAAATTTAAAGTTTTTCAATTGTGAACGTTTTCCACTTGTTTAAAATTTAATACGGATTGACTTTGTAATTGCGATTCTATATAATCGTACATGACTTGTATACCTACTCGGTTTGGTTAAAATAATATTGTACGGTTAGGTAGTAAATACTAAATACGTTTTTCAAATGGAAACTATACGAATTCGTTACACGGTAGGTAGTAATATTTATTTAGGACATAGGTTTCAAACTTATGTATGAAACGGTATATACCTATCGTTTTTCCCGGGAGACAAGGAAAAATGTTCTCGAAAAGAAAAACGGCCAAGCGTATATACTTTCAGCTGAACAATACACACGCGTACGCGTACATATTTATAACAATACTTTATTATAATATTTCAGGTAATGCGTAATGTACTGTTTTATTATATAATGCTCTATAATATATTCAATTATAACGAAGTCTATTATGGGGCGAAGCGTATGTACCTATGTGAGCGCATCGCATTGAATCGTAATAATAATATGAAGTAAACAATAAATTAAAATACTAAAATTTATGTTTCGAAATATTTTTAAAAACATTATAACTATTATTAAGTTGATAGTAATCAAAAAAAAAAAAAAATCTCACTAATACAAATATTGGACAGCTCCACAATGTTTGTAAAGTCGAAATAAATTATACTAAATATCACAGGGCTTCCGAAAATCCATTTTCCGCTTAACGTGTTTACGTGGGGTGGGGGGGGGGCAGTGATCTGGTTCCATGTCAAAATATCCCTAAAACCAAATATTCCATGGCGAAATGTAATTACAATAATGCAAAAAAATTATTTCCTATTTAGCATATTTTTATACTGAATGATATTTCGATTTATTTAAATTAGTTGTTGAGCAATAACATTCTATATTATGTAAATGATTTCCATTTAAAAACTGTTATGGTAAAACTAATTATTTTTAGAAAAAATGTACCTACAATCAAAAAATTCATATTATAAAATAAATTAAATAAAGTGAAAACTGTTAGCTCATAACACACGTTAACATTATCAAAAATAACGATTAACTCACATCAGTTTGGATAAAATGTGACGATTAGTAGGTACCTAATACTATTCACAACTTTAATGATAGAGGTTAAAGTTTTGAATTAATGTCTACGGGGGATTAAACCGGGATATTTAGACTTGATGTTATAGGTTTCGAGTACATCATCATTAATTGGACCATGGCGGGCACTGTAATAATTGTATCAGTAAACATTTTTGAATAAAGTGGTATCTTATAATTTATTTATACATTACTTTTTTTAAATGTATAAAGATATTTACAATATATTATCTAAAACAATGTTACAGGTAAATTGTTTACATGGCAAATAATAAGAGTTTCTCGTGGATAATATTTTGTGGAAGAAGCGGTTCACCATAACATCACCTCAGGAATATTTTTATTACTAGGTATATAAGTAATAATATATTGTAGTAATGGTATACGGTATGGATAACATTTTTTTTTTGCCAAAAACAATATATACAATACAAATATACTATAAAACAATTATGATTATAATAATATCATTGTTATTATTAACCTAACAGTATCGACTTTATTGGTATCTATTAGAACGTTCTGAATATGTTCGTGACATAAATAACTCAGAATTATTCTGAATGAAAAACTCATAAAGTATAGAAAATTGTTATTCAAATAATATTGTTTAATAACTTTAAAGAATATACGATTTAAATTTTTAAATCAATGACAAAAAAATATTGAATCTTAATCGAAAAAACCTAAATTCTGAAACACTATATTATATAGTAATTTACTGTTACGTAATATGTACGATATTATATTATATGACGATAGAATTATATTATTTTAATACGATTTATGCGCTGCAGAACATGTGAAGCGTGTAATTACGTTATAGGTGTATGTATTTTATTGGATTTTCGTGTCCCTACAACTATAAACTATACGAATTATTATCGTGTATACCGACGGAGGACCGGAGGACGAACACTTTTGGACCACTTTTGAATTATTTTAGTACGTCATGTGATAATAATATTATAATGCGGCGTATAATATATGTGTATATTATACTGTGGACCATGGACACATAGTATTATTTTATGATTTCGCTGCAGTAGAACAATTGTTGTTGACGTTGTTGTAGTTAAAATAATACGTCCGTTGCAGTGGCGTCGCCCACCACATCACGGAGGATCTCCCGGCGTTATTTAAAAATAATTAATCTTAATCAAAGAACACTGCCAGTCCCGGCAGATTGTAGTAATTAGTAAAGCTGTGCCCGGCGCCGTCGGGACTTTATAATAACGTGTTTGACGGACGGACGGACGGACAACTTAATGACGACAAAAACCCTTTTCGCCGCCGCAACGGTCCACAGCCACAGCCACAGCAGCCGCCAAACACTGACGCCACTGCTACCCGCAAATAATATTGTGTAATATATGAGCAACCGCTCGCCGCGTTTCGTTTATACGGCCGCACAATGGACTTTCTTAATGGCCGATCCATAAAGTTGTTATTATTATTATTATTATTATTATTATTATATCATTAATGCTGCCGTAAATGTTATTGTTATACTCCTCGCAGCCGAGTCGCAGGATATATATTATAAGCCCAAAGTGGCGTTTGCGACAACCGCGGTATATAACGTGGATAGTATAATATGCGCACCGCGTTTAGCTAAACATGACATTGCTCGTCAGTTGTCACCGCGATCGGATTTCCGTTTTTAAGTTGATTTTTTATCTATATTTACTGTATAATATTATGTTTGTTTTTAGATCCTCTGGAGGACACGACGCAGCAACATCTCCCCGGAGCGTCCGAGGAACCATTATTTCGCGTTATTATAATATTATGCTGTTACATAAAGCAGGCCCGCTTATTACACCTCGAGCTTTGTTCGAAAACGCCATTTGTTCTTTTAAATTGATCAGAAAATTAAAAACCCATAAAAAAAGGCCAACGCCGTTAATACTGCACCACCTATACCCATCTAATATTATTATGATAACAACATCGAAACGATGGTGTGTATTATTATAAAAAAGTGTGTAATAACTAATAAATACTATTATGGCACGACGGTAGCAGAAATAGTGTACGTGCTGTCTATACATCCATTTTGACCTTAAAAATAAATTAGGCTATAATATAATAATAATGTATTTTAATACTATGGATCATAATTCATAGAGGGATAAATGATAATGTCTCAATATACGAATAAGTATAGAAATATTATGCGGTGACCTATTCATAAGATAGTAAACAAACATAATTGTCTGTACAATAATTACCTTTCTGCATATAATACGTACCTACTCATTATCGATAAATATACTTCGACTATAATATGTAATTATATATAATTCTTGTGAAAAAGTTTTCAAATTAATTTAGCGCAATATAAATCGTATATTTTAATGGCGTATTATTAAAATTATTATACTATATCGTTTAATTAATGAATATATTAATATAATGTACCTAATATAATAATTTATAATTCTCGTCAATTTAATCACCTCTTTAAGATTTATATTTGGTCATATTTTAGATTATTTCCTTTTATCGACGTTATCGCAGTATAATAAATAATAGGTGTAAATTAGGCGAGTATTATATTATTTACAAAAACACTTATAGACGTGTATGCACTACTTTCATAACATTTTTAAAATGCAATAATAGTTCGAATTAATAATTATTACTCTACAAACGCATTTATACTTGTGTAACGGAAACCACAAACTATTTTAGTGCTAAATAATAGTATTCAAAATTATGTTAAAAGAAGCAATTAGATCGAGTTTAAAATAAAATTAAGAAACACTTATTCCTTTAGTAAATGGCGCTGGTGATGTCCTCTTTTACGACTTCGGAACCACCCGGCTGATGGCCCCTTATTTATTTTGTAGAGCTTCTACTTTTTTACCCTTGGAAAATGTTGATGGATCACTTGTACTTATTCATCCAGTATTACTGTGTATACTACTCCCGAGACCGATCTGTTCTAAGTTTTTACAAACTTTGTGTCGTTTACATAAACAAAGACCCGTCGCAAAGGGAAGAAAAATGAAATGAAAAAAAAAATCCACAATGAAATATATGGGTAGATTTTTGATTTTGAAAACGGAAAATCTGCAGTCGATAAAAACTATGAACTAAATTAACGACGGTATCATGGTGCGATACAATATGACATTCTATATTATTATATTCGTTGTGTATAACATTTGGAATTAATGTTGAAAAATGTAACGATGAATATTATATCGTATATTAGAGAGTTGCTATAAATAAGCAGAGATAGGCCGTGGCTTTCGCTAAACTGCAATATTCACATGTTTTGTATTTTATCATAAATGATTATGGTCATTATACGGCGTATAAGGTTATTTTGCCTATACTGCAGCACACGTCAAAATTACAATTATAAAAATATAAATAATTACAAACTTAAACTATGATACACTTAAAAAAAAAATGTAAGTACTGCGAAAAGTGTAGCGTGTTTCCGAACTAGTGCCTATGGTGTAATATATAATATATGATATTATAATTATTACACATTTTATACGAATCTTTGAAGTAATAGTTTTTTAAATATTATATTAAGTTAATGATCGGCAGGTACACTAAAGGAATTTCGAGTGCCTACGTGCGTTAAAAAGTGCAGTGTGTACATATAAATATATATTATTATTATTACAGTATGTAAAGAAACTATAACATATATTTTATTATTATTATATATTACGGTAAAACACCATTGACTATCGGACGATGCCGGAAGGTCAATGTGTACATAGAAACTTTTGCAATGTAAATGAACAACAACGAACGTTATTATACAATGTATACGAAAAAAACAACATATTTCGACGTTGGCACGGGTATAATAATATGTAATAAAAGCTCAAAAACTACTGAGTACAAGAGCGCACAAAAGATAAATGAAAAGTTATGAGGAGCAACGATGAAGAGTTTGAAACCTTTCTTATCTTTTTTTTTCTTTACCTCTTTCCCTGGGAATTTTCCCGTGCGCACTGCGTGCACCTATACACAGGAGCTAAATGTATTTATCCCCGAATTGTGGTAATACCCAGATAGGTAGTCCGACGGTTAAAATGACAAAGGTCTGCAGCCCGAGCTCCGCCTATATAATATATATACTGCACACCGCGGCCTGTACATGAGCTATAAAAGATAAACCGCCGCGTGTTTTTATATTTCGACGATAAATCTCTAGTAAATTTTTCACCGTAGGTATATAGAGGTATAATACGAGTGTAACGATAATAACGATAACAATAATAATAATAATAATATATGTTGCCGCGTAAATAAAAAAATAATTTTTAATACTAACGCACTGCAGGGTTTCGTTTTTAAAACTTAACGATGTTTACCATAAAATAATGTACCTCGCCAACAGTTGTAGATCGACGACGTAAAGAATAACATTTTTTTTTCCGCTAGGATTATAATATGATACATATAAGTATATAGCCTATTAATACGGTACGTATACACACTTACTCGTCTGGCATTTATATTGTTATTAAAGCCAGTGGATGAACGTTAACTAAACAAAACCGATAGTAATGTAAATGCTATTGGACATTTATTTTCCATCGCATATTATGATTACTGCAGTAGCTGCGATACTTTAATATCGATCGAATCTAAAACACTTCAATGTAATTATTTGTCTTGCGAAACTCGTTACGGAAACATAGAAATAAATATTTGGACTCGATATGCGTATGTACGATTTCTAGTTTCTACTCAAGTGGTGCGCGTATGAAAGTATTATTGAAAATTGGAAACCGTAGATATATAGTAAAGTACTAAAGACTATAAAGTGAATACCATTAGCAATGTGTTATTTTATTTTTTTATTTGTTCATTTAGTTGTTTCAACAATAACATAAATTGTTTTTGCAATAAAATTTAAATTGAATTAAATTTTACAATACGAAATTGTTCACATACTAATGTATACATATGTGTAGATTATACCCACTCTAATAATTAATGGCATTTAGATAAAGTATATATGTTTGGTTAGTTGCTGATTTAAATACAAACTATTTCTATTTTATTTGTAAAACTGTACCTAATCAATATTTACATACAAGTGGCATATTTTTAATTACAAATGCCTTCGAGTACAATGCTATACATAATATATCATAAAAGTTAGTGAAAAAATGTTCAAGAGGTGAATGTGAATATGATGTTGGTATGTCTGCAGTACATCAAATATTACATTTTAGTATTTATTTTTGATTTCAATTTCATGCTGATTCAATGTAAAATATTTATTTATATTCCTACATCTGTAAAAAAAAAACACGACCATTATAATGGGTAAATCCCATATTTTTCAATACATTTTTTCATAATAATAATATGTTTGTATTTACACTTGTATTGCAATTAAAAGGATAAAGTAATG